GTGTGTGTGTGTGTGTGTGTGTGTGTGTGTGTGTGTGTGTGTGTGTGGGCGCAGGAAATGATCACACCCTAGCAACCCCGTTTTCACTGCACACATACAAATGCGTAGAGACACAAGGAGAGAGGGGCAGGGAGGGTATCAGATGGCGTGGAGTCTCATTAAGATGCATGTGTTTAGTACCAAAGGTTCCTTCTGTATGTTTGTAGAGGCTCACATTACCACAGATGCTCCTTCTCTCATCAGCAGTCTGCACACAAGATCCGGGTGGAAGCTAACACAAAGCTAACACCTTAACTTTAGAGAAACCCGGGGAAGCAATATCCAGTACATGTGTGCATCATGGTGGCTGTGTCTAATGTGAGCTTTTGGAAACTCGGTTTTAAAAGCAATAGAAACCTCTGATGTTCACCTGGCGCGTCATCGTCGGGCAGGCATTAAAATGTCAGTCAGAACACTTGTTTTTATGTGGCTTTTCTTTCTGTCACTGTGTGTAATGAAACTCACTTCTCTCTTCTTCCTCCGTGTGTCTGCAGGGTTTCACCTCAGTGGCACAGTCACTGAACCCGCCACGTCGTCAGAACCCGAGGTCACCCACAAGGTGGCCATCAGCTTCGACCGATGCAAGATCACCTCCGTCACCTGCGGTTGCGGGAACAGGGACATCTTCTACTGCGCCCACGTGGTGGCGCTCTCTCTGTACCGCATACGCAAGCCTGAGCAGGTAATAACCGCATCGCCACCAAACACACGTCGGCGTCTGTGAGAAGTCGATGACCATACCGCTGGAGTCAGCGACTCGCTCTTCTGTAAAAAGCTCATTGATCAACTTACGTGTGTCTGATACAGGTGAAGCTGCGGTTGCCCATCTCGGAGACGCTGTTCCAGATGAACCGGGATCAGCTGCAGAAGCTGGTCCAGTACCTGATCACAGCCCACCACACCGAGGTGCTGCCCACAGCCCAGAAACTGGCCGACGAGATCCTCTCCTCCAACTCTGAGATCAACCAGGTCCACGGTGAGAGGACAAACTTCAGTTCAAGTTCGACGATGAAGTGAAAAGTGGCACGATTGTGTGATTTTTTTTAAAAAAAACAACTTTCACGTCTCACTTACCCCCCGAATCCCACCTAGAACTGATTTTTAATGTCATAAATGCACGGCAGTAAATAGGAGAAGCACGGCGCTTCTCTTAATTGTTGAAAAGGCAGCTTTGCCGAGCTGCTGTCCATCTTTTCGCAGCGATATCTTCACAGCGACAGGCCAGACTTAAAAGCATCCAGACTTAAAGTACGGCGCGTGCCAGCCTACAGGCCGTCGTATGTCCGAGCCCTGATTACTCCAGCGAAGTAGCAAGGCGAGCTTCAAATGGCTCGTTTGATTTCTTAGTTCCCTCTCTCTTCAGTGACTGCCTTCTTCCAGTGGCAAGAGTGTGTTGATGAAAGAAGGGAGGAGTAAAAAAAAAAGAAAGAGGTGAATGATGAAATGGATGCAGGAGAAGGTTGAGAGAGATGTGTGGAGAAGGAAAGGGACACTGAGAGGAAGAGAAGGGAGGAATGGCACTCGGGGAGACTGAAAGGAGAGATGAAAAAGAATAGGAGAACCACAACAGACTGCATCTGGGAAAACGACAAACTAGACACATCCTCTCTCCAAACAAAAGTCTTTTTTTTTTTTTCTGTTTCACCATTTCATCCGCCTCGCTAAATGTTGACATTCCCCAGCACTCCTGTCCAGGAAGCCCCGGCGCTGCGTTTCCCGTCTGTGTTTGACAAGGGGGATCATGGGGGTTGGAGTCAGTCGATCCAGGAGCGAGGCTTTCTTTGATGGAGGAATGTTGCTGTTTGCCGTTGCGTACTCCCAGCCAAGTTGGAAACACATCTCTGGGCTTTCCTCAGCTCGCTTCCTGCTAGATCAAAGCAGCCTCCCCGCTCTGAGCATATCTACGTTTCCCCGTTGTATTGCTCAGACACACACGCACCCACCATGCCGACAAGAAGACACAAATACCGCCGGCCTTATACCCCCTCAGTGTGCAATTATCATAAAACGAGCCGCTTTTCTCAAGTGTCGAGTAGGTGCACTGTAAGTTAAATGTCAAACAAATACCTGTGAGAGCAGTATCGGTGTAATAAGTCACCAGAGATTTGGATTCATCCAGAAAGTTTGTACGATTGGATTGCTAGCTATCCATTAGAGCTGTAACACATGTTGTGTTTTCACATTTGAAGCTTTTATTGAGGTTTTCTAATTTAGAAATTTTGAAATGAAGCTGTTGTCATATTTGCGGAGCAGTTGAATGTTGATTCAGAATTTAAATGTCAACGTTATGAATGAAGCTTCATCTTGAGCGACATGTTAGGATAGAGGTAAGGGAACCATGTCTTTTTGCGAGTGAGGCTGTCTGAAGGTAAACTCTAGTCCCACGGTCACCATCTGTGTATACTTTTTGTCCGAGTTTAATGCGTGTGTGTGTGTGTGTGTGTGTGTGTGTGTGTGTGTGTGTGTGTGTGTATTCCCAGGTGCTCCGGACCCGACTGCAGGCGCCAGCATTGACGATGACAACTGCTGGCATCTGGACGAGGATCAAGTCAGGGAGCAGGTCAAACAGTTTCTCTCACAGGGAGGATACTACGGCTCTGGGAAGCAGCTCAACTCCATGTTCGCTAAGGTACACATCACCACTTCCTGTGTCTGCTGCTTTGTGTGCCTGGGATTTATGTATTGATTGATATTATCATAATCAACATCGCAACACTGATAAGTAAAATCAGTGTTTATTTGTCTGAACACACCAATGACCAGTTAGAGACTCCACTATGTTACTTTGCTTGGGTTGTATTTGTTAAGTATGAAACTCCACAAGTGAAAACAAAGAGGTTCTAAATTAATTTAACTCAAAAGGATGTTGTTTTGAAGAGAGTCTTTGTTACATTTCTTGTAACAACCACTTTTGAACATTGACATATTTTAAAGGGGTACTCCAGTAATTTAGTATTGCACTTTGGGAGACTCGTAAAAGAAAGAAAATCGATGCAGCAGACAATGAGATATCCTGATTTATAGTCCCTAATATGGATCAAGCTCAATCCTACAACTCCCATAATGCATCTCTAAGTGTCTGGTGTCACCCTTAGCAGCTTGATGAAGTCAAACCCCACACTTTCAGTTTGTAAGACTTTCTGTCAAAATTAATAAAAAGAAACTCGTATATCTATATATCATTTAGTCTGAATTTCTTCTTTCCTATTTCCCTCCATATTGAACCCGAACCACTTATCTCTATGAAAGTATAATTTCCACATTGAGAGAATGGCACAAAGAATCGGGGCACCTGCAGGTCACATGAGCATCTTAAGACTTCTTTGACTGTATTATTCAAACTCGAGGCATTAAGCGGTCTTGGAATACGGTTGAATATAGCTTTGCAAATCCTGAAAGTCAATGTAGAGGATTCATAAATGCACTTTTCACATCAGCCCATCTAACACAGACCTCATGTATATTCTATGATATGCGTGTTGCCAGAAATCATGCTTTCGTCTTATCAATTCACTCTGATTTTAAATAAGATTTTCACATGTGTCATATATACAGAAGCACGCTTCTACCATCTAGAAGTCTTAAAGGAACAGTTTGACATTTCAGGAATACGCTGTCACCTCTGTCCGTTCAATATGAAGCTAGAGCCAGGGCGGGTGCTTAGCTTAGCTTAGCTTAGCAACATGTGAAAACAGCTTGTCTGGCTTTGTCCAAAGATAACAAAAAAAACCTCCCTTTTAAAGCTTGCAAAACCAAAATGGCAGGCCTTGTTTTTGATGCTCCTGCTCTGCCCGTTAGTGTCTGTGTGTGTGTGTTTACCTTTAACCTGGTGGAAGGAGTCTCGTGAATTACATGCAGTGACTAAGCCTGCACTATCTGGGTCTTTCCAGGTCAGGGAGATGCTACGAATGCGGGACTCCAACGGCGCCCGAATGCTGACGCTCATAACGGAACAGTTTATGGCAGACCCCCGGCTGTCGCTATGGAGACAACAAGGCACCGGCATGACGGATAAGTGTCGGCAGCTCTGGGATGAGCTAGGTAAGAACGCTCACAAGACCCTGTGTGCGTGTGTGTGTTCTTCTTCTTCGTCCTCCTGCTCGGGCCTCTCCTCCCCTCTCGCTCCCTACACAGAGTGAATGATAAAGGCTGCCGATCAATACAGCGGCTCAGCTTCTCTGCAATCAATCTCAGCATTTAGGAGGTCAATGGGAGCACTTCCTGGGTGAGCGAGGGAGATCATGATACAGACACAGACAGGGGTGGCAGCCAGATGGTCGGGGTTTGCTGCCGGATCATTTTCCACAGAGACGTAGATAGTTGACCCACTGTTGAGGTCTGTGTATGGAGAGTTTAGTTTTTCAGTCATAAAAACACGACTAAATGCATATCTTATCCCCCCCCCCTCCTTGAGGGGGATAAGATATGTCCTTCAGTGGGGTTTCTGATTCAGCCTTGGTGAGCTTTCTTCAGTAATAGATCAATTATTTAGTCGGTGATATTTTTGAATATAATCAAATGTTCCCAGAGCCCACGGTGCATCTTGAAATTGCTTATTTTGTTCAATCAGCAGTATAAAAACCCAAAGATATTCCATTTAATGTCATATGTAACATAGAAAATCCTTAAATCCTCACATTTGACAAGCATGAACAAGTGAATATTTTAGAAATATGACTAACCGATTATATGATCAAAATCAAGTCATCAAAGTAACTTAACAAATCGACTAATCACTCCAGCTGTAGTTTGTTGTTTTTTGTTGTTGTTTTGTGTTTAAAGCTGCCAATTCTCAACATTTGTGTTCCAGTATGTTTATTGTACAGATTATTATTTATTGTAATCTCAATGTATTCATGTACACAACTGTATATGTATGAATTTGTTATTAGTACATGTAGAGATTCTGTCTAAAACTGTCTTGGAGGAAATAAAACTTTGTTTGTTTTAGGACTGAAATCAGTTGGTCAGGAGTGACATCATTGTCAGGTTGCTCCTGTTGGAGCGAGGAAGTTCAGAAAGGCTAAACGGGCTTTATTTTCTTAAAAGATTATTCCTAATGGTCCAGAGTTTCCGACCTTAGAGGAAAAGAAAAGAATTCAACTGCTTCCTTTGCATCCCGACCTCTGACCTCCCTCCTTTTCCCAGGTGCATTGTGGGTGTGCGTGGTGCTGAACCCCCACTGTAAGAGCGAGGAGAAGAGCGGCTGGCTGAAGCAGCTGAAGAAGTGGGGCGACCTGGACGTCTGCCCGCTGGAGGATGGCAACTATGGCAGCGAGCTTCCAAACATCACCAACGCTCTTCCGCAGAGCAACCTGGCACAGGGTCAGCACGAACAACACAAGCACGCACAACACAAACGCATGAATACACACCGGGATTGAGCTGAACTCGAACGCCGGGACTCTCGGACAAATGAGATGCGACAGCAATGACGCCATCCGTGACTGAGTATGTGTGTTTTTTTTCTCAGACTCTCTGTCCAGGCCGAGGAGGTCGGTGTTCAGCCGGGCCGTCGAGGCCTGTGACCTCCACTGGCAGGACAGCCACCTCCAGAGGATCATCAGCAGTGACCACTACATGTCTCCGTCCTACCAGAGAGAGGGGGAGAGCCTGCTGTTCAACCCACAGGGCCTGCCGCTCTGGCTAGGTGAGACACATTTCACTCCTCAGCAAGTCCGCGTCCTTATTTGGACTCGACATGAGCGAGGACACCTCAATGTAACTGAAAGTATCAGCAGTAATTCATTACTCATTTCCAGGAATTGTATTAACCTGTTGCGTTTAGTCAAATAATACGTTTGTTTATGCTCTGAGCAACACTCAACTACTTTCTGCATTACAACAGTCGAGAAAAACGTCATTTTCAGGAAGAACGTCAGTGTTTCTGTGGCACTTCCATACACACACAATCTCTAATGCCACTGAAAGCCGAACCAGCGCGCACACACACACACACACACACACACACACACACACACACACACACACACAGTAATTCTGCTGATATTGAGGCCAGTATCCGCAGTAAGCAGCTTCCAGCTAAGATCTGTCAGATTTTGCAACTTAAGCCAGCTATCAGAAGCACACTGGCGTTCTGCTGAGACTGCACTGTGTGTGTGTGTGTGTGTGTGTGTGTGTGTGTGTGTGTCTGTGTGTGTTTACTGATGACACTTTGTGTGTGTTCGGAATGAAATGTGCCAGGCCTGTGACTGTACGGCGCGTGTGTGTGTACGCGCACATCCATCTCATTCAGAGTGTGTAGCTGTCCTGACTCCACCTTGTCTCACACACACAGACCACGTCCCGACGGCATGCGCTCGCGTCGACGCGCTGCGTTCCCACGGCTACTCCAGGGAAGCACTGCGATTGGCCGTGGCCATCATCAACACGCTCCGCCTCCAGCAGCAGAGACAGATGGACATCTACAAACACCAAAAGAAAGGTAACACACACACACACACACATATTGTTTTGTGTTAAAGTGTTGAAATGTAATTGTAATATTTCTCTCTTGCTCTCGCTCTCGTCGTCTCTCAGAGCTTCTCCAGAGGGGCGTGACTTCCACCACCAACCTGGAAGGCTGGGTAGGTCATCCCTTAGACCCGATCGGCTGTCTGTTCACCACGCTCACCGAAACCTGCCGCCTGGACGACGACAACACGATGGACACAGGAGGTATGAAGATATGCTGCTGTTTCTCCTTTTACTCTCTCTGGGAATTATCATTATCATTATTTTTTAAGTAGTGCTGTATGAGATACTTATCCATAGTCAGTGGATGAGCTACAGTAGATGGCGGTCGGCACGCTCCCAGTGTGGAGAAGCAGACAGGAGTACGGCCATCATTTTATTTGTTTTAGCAATAAAATACTCAAAAATGTAATACTAAAATGAACAGAAAACGAACATTGTCGACATAAAGTGCTGCATCTCCACCGTCCCCTATTAAACTATGTTGCCCCCTTTTCTTTAGGCAAGGTAAAGCAGTGAAAATATTGTGAATATAGCATTCATTTCAGCGCTACAACAAAATCCTACCTATCCCTTTATAAGGCAAAAAGGCCGACATGCTTGATGCCTTTCCAAACTTCAACACGATTCCCGCGACTACTCCTGTTTCGTTGTATCATTTAGCCCCGCAGTGTCTTTTGCTTGCAGACCAACAAACAAAAGTCTTCATAGAAGTTTATGAGAGGGCTCGTCATGAGTCGAGGTGGAAAGTATTCAGTGTCGTTGGATTCACTTTCCTCAGTACAGGCTCAAGAGCTGAGTCACTCAAATGTATAGTTTAACTTTCAATTCATGTATTTTACATTGAAATTACATTTTGACACTGCTCTTTACCGCAACATGGTGAGCAAAGCTGAGAACAAGCTTCACCTCCCGTTATGAGCAGTCATTAGTAATGAGTGCTGCTCAGAGCTGCAGAAACCTAACAATTCATAGGGGCAGCAAATGAGAGGAAGAGGCGGCAAGATTGTTTTTTTTGAATGTTCTCAGAAAAATATCACTCTGCCATGTCAAATGACTTATTCCTTTAAACTTTAAATTATTAGTTGTCGCCACACGTTGTTTCCCAGGTATTCTCGCGAAACACGGACTCAACCACAAACCTCCTCTCACACAATGCGAGGGCAAACGCAAGGTAGAATTCCTCGCGCACTTCACCTGTTGATGCAGTGCAACACCAGCAGTGACCCGTTAGACAACGGACTCCACGTTCCTATATCTAAAGGTAGCGGCTCTATTGTGCTGCAGACGCAACCATAAACTAGCCCAGCATCTGGACCGTGCTGGAACACCCCGCTCATTTAGACCACACTCCTGTTGTGTGTGTGTGTGTGTGTGTGTGTGTGTGTGTGTGTGTGTGTGTGTGTGTGTGTGTGTGTGTGCGCGCGCGCGTGTGTGTGGGGTATGTATAGAATCCATCACCATTTTGCATTTCACACCCCGCCCAGGGCCTTTTTTTTTTTTTCCACCAGTGGCCATTGCAACAGAGCAGAATAGGGGTTGGCTTTTCCCATTGTTACCAGGCTACAGGGAACTATTGTCAATCCCAACAATGCTGACCACTGTGTGTGTGTGTGTGTTGGTGATAGAAGGAATGATTGTCTTATGTTGTTTTGGGAATTTGAGAAGTGTGTGTGTGTGTGTGTGTGTGTGTGTGTGTGTGTGTGTGTG